GGATGCACCAAGCCCAGTCTTGTCACATTTCGAGCATCACTGGGCTTTGTTTATCTCATAAGAGCGAAATTTAATCAACTGTTTTGGGCACTCAAACTACGAGGCAGATGTGGCAGGAGGAAGCTGCAATGGAAGCTGCTGATCTTGTTTACTAATATCTTTTCTGTTTTAGATCTGCAACGCTAGAGCTTAATTGGATACCAAGTGTAGGCTTAATTTATTATTTTGATTAGTTCGAACAGGCAGGGACCACCACAAATGATAGACTTAGGGGACTACTACAGATTACAGCGTTAAAATGCAAGAGGAATATATATGTATAGACAAAATAAAAGAGTGGACGCCTAGGACAGCATCTTGCGGATCATGTAGTTGAGGATGCCGCCGTTCCTATAATATGTGATGTCAACCTCGGTATCGAAGCGCAGAACGGTCTCAAACACAGTGCCGTCAGCCTAAGAGAGTGGGGAAAATGAATTATATAACAATATATAGAAGGGAGCGTCCCACGGCTTGTGACTTACCTCCACCTGGACCTTCTGGCCAGGCTTCAAGCCGCTCTCGGGCAGAGAAATGTTGTAGAGCTCGCGGCCCGTCAAGTTAAGAGTCTCGGCGCTTTGGCCAGGCAAGAACTGCAGGGGAATAATGCCCATGCCCACCAAATTGGAGCGATGGATGCGCTCGTACGACTCCGCAATGACAGCCTTTACGCCCAGCAGGAACGGACCCTTGGCGGCCCAGTCGCGCGAGCTGCCACTGCCATAGTCCTTGCCCACGACCAGCACCAGAGGTGTGCCTTCCTCGCGGTAACGCTCGGCGGCATCGAAGATGTCCAGCTCCTCCTCGCTGGGGATGTGCAAGGTGCGTGGACCGGTCTTGGTCAGCAGCTTGTTGACCAGGCGAATGTTGGCGAAGGTTCCGCGCGACATGATGGCATCGTTGCCACGCCGCGAGCCATACGAGTTGAAGTCACGGGGTGTGATGCTGCGCTCGGAGAGGAAACGAGCGGCCGGCGAATTTCTGGCAATGGAGCCGGCCGGCGAGATGTGATCCGTGGTCACAGAGTCGCCCAGGAAGAGCAGACAGCGTGCCTTCTGGATGCTCTGCTGCTTGGGCAGGTCGCGGGTCATGCCCTCGAAGAAGGGTGGCCGCTTGATGTAGGTGGAGTCGGAGCTCCACGAGAATAGTTTGCCCTCGTCCACCTGCAGGTTCTGCCAGTCCTCGGATCCCAGTTCAATCTTGCCTGCAGATAAAACAAGGTTAAATAATTATTGAATAATAATATGTATGTTGTAAGTACTCACTGTAGACCTCCTGGAACATGGCAGGAATGACGTGCTTGTTCTCAACCTCCTGGATTTCAGTGCGTGTTGGCCAGATGTCACGTAGGAAGACGTTCTTGCCATTGGCATCCACGCCCAGCGGCTCCTTTTCGAAGTCAATGTCCACACGGCCAGCAATGGCGTAGGCGATCACCAGCAGGGGACTGGCCAGATAGTTGGCCCTCGTATTGGGATGGATGCGACCCTCAAAGTTGCGGTTGCCCGATAGAACGCCAGCGCAGACGAGGCCGTTCTTCTCAATGGTGTTCACGACATTCTCGTCCAGGGGTCCCGAGTTGCCGATGCAGGTCATGCAGCCATAGCCGACAATGTCGAAGCCGAGCTTCTCCAGATACGGAATGACGCCGGACTCCTTCAGGTAATAGGTGACCACGCCAGAGCCGGGCGACAGCGATGTCTTGACGTAGGGCAAAATGCTGAGACCCTTCTCCACGGCATTCTTGGCCAGCAGACCCGCTCCCAGCATCACCGATGGATTCGAGGTGTTCGTGCACGATGTAATGGCTGCAATGACCACGGAGCCATGCTGCAGCTTGTAGGTCTTGCCATCATCCCACTGGAACTCGGCAAAGGCAGCCTGGGCCTCGGGTGCGATGGCAAAGCCCTTGAATCCAACCTTGGGTTGGAGCATAAATAATTCATTAATAAACTGATACAAGCTGGCAAATAATCCAACTTACTGGGCTGGACAGGCACGACTTGAAGTCCTCCGGCATGTCGGAGACAGAAACGCGATCATGCGGACGCTTGGGGCCGGACACAGATGTAACCACATCCGAAAGATCCAAGGTGATGCTCTGCAACGAAGATTGAAATGTTAATTGATGCAAACAAATTCTGTACTTCTGTTTCTATTCACCTGCGAGAACTTGGGATCTTGGGCCGCATCTGCGTAGTTGCGCAACTGCCCAGTGGCCTTCAGATACTCCCGAATAATGTCGATCTTCTTCTCCGAGCGATCTGTCATTTAAAGGGAAATATAAGCCAAAATTGAATCAACATAAGTATCAAGTATAAGTACGCACTCGTCTGCTTCATGTAGCCCAGGGTATTCTCATCGATGGGGAAGTAGCCAACGGTGGCGCCGTACTCGGGACACATGTTGCTGATGGTCGCGCGATCGGCAATGCTTAGCTCGGCAACGCCGGGGCCGTAGAACTCCACGAATTTGCCCACGACGCCCAGCTGACGCAGATGCTTGGTGATGGTCAGCACCAAGTCGGTGGAGGTGACCAGGGGGCTCAGTTTGCCCACCAGCTTATAGCCAATAACCTCTGGCAGCAGCATGGAGATCGATTGTCCCAGCATCACAGCCTCCGCCTCAATGCCGCCCAACACCCCAGCCGAGCACGCCCAGGCCATTGATCATGGTGGTGTGGGAGTCAGTGCCGACCACGCTGTCGGGATAGAGGATCTTCGAGCCATCCGTGGCATCGTTCTCAAACACAACGCGGGCCAAGTACTCCAAGTTGACTTGATGCACAATGCCAGAGCCGGGTGGCACGATCAGCATGTTGTTGAACGCCTTGGCGCCCCACTTCAAGAAGGTGAAGCGCTCCTTGTTGCGCACAAATTCAAGGGCTTGGTTCTTGCTGAGGGCGTCGGGGACACGGGCAAAGTCCACCTGCACGGAATGATCGATGACCAAGTCGGCAGGGCAGATGGGATTTATTTTCTCGGGATTGCCACCCAGGTCCAGGACAGCGTCACGCATGGCAGCAAAGTCCACCACAGCGGGGACACCAGTGAAGTCCTACAGACATTTAACCAATATAAATGAATATGCTTGGCAGGATTATGGGACCGGAGCTCACCTGTAGAATCACGCGCGCCGGCTTAAAGGACACCTCCACATCATTGGAGCCCTGCTTGAGAGCCGGGGACCAGCCCAAGATGCTCTGGACATCCTTCTCGAGGATGTGGAAGTTGTCGCAGTTGCGCACCGCAGACTCCAGCAGCACACGAATGGAGTAGGGCAGCTGATCTGTAATCGGAAACAGAAACACAAATCCCGACCGTCAATCTCTACTGTACACACACAAAGCTGCGCAGTCATCACACCGCTAACCGCTAATAAAAGGTGCGGTCTGGCGATAGCGTATCGCTGCTATCAGAGGCCGCCACAGGTGGACTTGCTATTACATCGCACTCCAACCGATGTGTGTTACCTCATCCAATCCAGCCACGCGCTGTCTCAGCAAAAACATGCCACTGCTCTGAAGATGTCTCCCAATCATAGGACCCACGACCTCGGATCGGACCACTGATAAGTGGAGGGAATAATACAACAGCTCAAGTGGCACACGATTGCCGTTATCAGCGCTTGCCGGTAACATAGGAAATGGGCTGGGCTGGGCAGGGCAGGGCCAGCCTTGTGCGTTTGTCTGGTTTTGAATAGACGAGCCCCATTATACGCAATTCACCCACTGATAAACTTTCGCTTTTAGCTCGCTCCAAGCTGATATAATGGCTACCAAAGTAGCAGGCACCTCCGAATTGACACCACTTGGACTTGCAAATTAATGTGGTGCGCATCAGCAATCGGGTACTGGATTGGGTGTGTGTGTGTTTGCGTTTGTGTGCAAGGGGTCAAACTTCACATTCAACAGGTATCCGAAGTAGGACACAGAGACAGACAAATGAATGCAGTCTCTACTGTCCCCCCCACAGATCGAGATTTCACTAGTTTTGAGCTAGGCGGAGCACCGCTCTCCACCACGTAAACAGCCACGCCCACGTACACTGTGTAAGGTTAAGCCTCGACCGGATCAAAATCAAACCACTTACCATATTTACTGTCGATGGAGACCAAATCGAAGTACTTGTAGGTGGTGCCGGCCTGGGAGAACGACTTCTCAAACTTAGCAAAGGGATTGGCGCCTGCTGCAGAGGACAAATTATATAAGCATCAGGCAGCCAGGATCTCCTGAGCAATCTTTGCGGCTAGCATCACTTACCAGACATTTTAGTGGAGATAACTTTCACCGACGTTTACTTTCTGATTGGACAAATTTGAAATTTGCCTTCTCCAGCTGATGAGTGCACTGATTTGCAATGTGACCGCGGATTTATCGGCTAAATATATACAGAAATAACCGTATCGTTTTTATAATATACCGTAAATATACTGACGGACACATTGATATTTCTCGATTTTGATGTTCGGTTTAATATTACTAGCTAGTTAGCCCTCTCAACCCTAAAAAAATCATTTTATCTAATTCATCAATTAATTTTGTACAAGATTGGTTAGTTTTCAGAACTCTCTTTAATTGGATTTTTTATATAATAAGGTTCAAACAAAAACGGCCAAAATCTTTTCTGTGTACCGGAATTTTACGTCAGTGTTGCTGGTCAACCAAGATTCGTCTACGCGTATGGACTTTTGTATACCTTATTTCTATTAATTGATGTTAAATGTTTTAAAATTTTGAAAAACCACCACGATTTGAGAGCGAAAATGTCGGTATTTTTTGTGCGCTAAATGGAGTTTGGCGGTCACTTTGAAAAGTACAATATACGTTAATAAATAGATTTGAACTTGATTCAATTATACTTTGTTTCCAAAATAATACGAGTTTTTGCGATTTTGGTGTTTTAGTATTTCCTCGAGTACGGCAACACTATTTTCAGGGTTTATGCTCAATAGTACCCCAGTCACACTGTTTCCATATCTGTTAACACGCGCACGTTGCTTTAAAAAATTTATACAAATTAAAATGAATATTCCAGACAAACCTAAGCAGGTGGCCAATGATAAGCTGCGCGAAATGCAGTGCAAGTTCAATCCGCTCTCGCGCTGCGACGGTTCCGTCATGTATTGCCAGGGTTTGTGCAGCGTGTGCTTGGAGTGTGTGAGCAGCCGGCTAATGGGATTTCTTTACTTTAGGAGCAACAGTTGTTATATCCGCGGTGCTGGGTCCCATCGAGGTGAAGACACAGAATCTGAGCATAGACGGAAGCTATCTGGAGTGCAACTATCGGCCGAAGGCAGGTCTGCCGCAGGTCAAGGAGCGGATACGAGAAGCCGCCGTACGAGACGTGCTGGAACTGGCGCTGCTGTCCGAGGCTTATCCGCGCTCGAAGATGTCTCTGCAGATACAGGAGCTGGAGGATAGAGGCAGTGTAAGGCGATAAATGCTCGATTGCTTACGCGGCCCGAAGCTGATGAATTTATTTGTTTTGCAGATCGATGCTTGTGCCCTGAACTCAGCTTGTCTGGCGATGCTTATCGGTGGCCTGCCCCTGAAATGCAGTTTTGCGGCTGTGCACTGCCTTATCAATGATAAGGGCGAGTATGTGCTGGACCCGGATCAAAGAGAGACGGAGCATCAGCGCGCCAGCTTCACATTCGCCTTCGACTCGCTGGAGGGAAATCTGCTGCTGGTGCAAACAAAAGGATCCTTTAAAATAGCAGAATTCAATGACGTGGAAAGTCTCTGCCGATCGGCCAGTGCGGAGATCTTTCAGTTCTATCGCATCAACATAGCGAATTACCATTACAGAAGGGCTGATGCCAGCGAAGAGGATATGGAAACGTAATTGTAGGCGATTTAAAATTAAGTTCGATTAAAGCTCACTTTATTATGTAAGCCCTAGCCTCGTTCTGCTGTTAAAGCTGCCAATGCTGCTGATTTCCAGGGGAGTTCCTTTCAGGACCTGAGAGTTGGACTCGTCTATTTGGGCCACCACAAAGTCGCCAACATCTATGGCCCTGCGTGCTGCATTTGCCGTGGCGCCCGTGGGCAGATCCATGGCAGGAACAATCACCTTGATGTTGGCATCGTTGCGTCCAAACCAGTGGGCATCTGAGCGCTTGCTCTTACCCTCGATGAGAATAAGCTGCTGCTGGCCCTCAAAATGTTTGTGCAGCTGGGTCGCTCCCTCTCGGAAGGCCTGGACCATGCGCTGCAGTCGCGCTGTCTTCACAGCCACAGGAACATCATCCACGTAGCGCCGATGCGCCGTGGTCTTCTCCCGCATGCTGTAGGCAAACAGATAGGCCACGTTGTATTGCACTCTGTTGATGAGCGAGACGGTGTCCTCGAACTCTGCCTCCGTTTCGCCACAGAAGCCGCAGATAAAGTCACTGGACAGACCCACGGTCGGCAGTATCTCTCGTATGTGGTCCACCAGCTCCAGGTACGCCTCCCGGGTGTAGCCACGCCTCATCCTGGCCAAAACCTCCGTGTTGCCCGACTGTGCTGGCAAATGGAGCTGCTTGCAGACATTGGGATAGTCCCGAATGACACGCAGCACCTCGTCAGAGAAGTCCTTGGGGTGGGGGGAGGTGAAACGTATGCGCATCTCGGGCACAGCCTCGGCCACGCTCTGGAGCAGCTCGGAGAAGGGAATGCCACCCGTTTTGGGCTTGTAAACGGTTTTGAAGCCCGGCACCAGGCTGGGCTGCTCTGAGGCCTCTCCAGCTCCCTTGTCCCTATACGAGTTGACATTCTGTCCCAAGAGAGTCACCTCCTTGACGCCCTCCTCCTGCAGGGCGCGCACCTCATTGACAATGGACGCCAGTGGTCGCGAGCGCTCCCGGCCACGGGTGAAGGGCACAATGCAGTAGGTGCACATGTTGTCGCAGCCGCGCATGATGGAGACAAAGGCCGTGGGCGACTCGGCATTCAGTCGGACTGGCATCACATCCGCGTACGTTTCGTCCAGCGAGAGGAGTACGTTGATGGCGGAATTTCCGTAATGCCGCGACACTGCCAGCAGCCTGGGCAGATCCTTGTAGCTGTCCGGCCCCGCAATGACATCCACGCACTGCTCCTGGTCCAGCAGCTGCTCCTTCAATCGCTCCGCCATGCATCCCAGCAGCGTTAACTGCAGTGGCTGCCGCTTGGTGCCTCGCCTTTGCTTCATGGCACGCAGATGTCGCAAGCGATTCCAGATCTTCTGCTCAGCTCCCTCGCGCACGGCACAGGTGACCAGCATGACTAGATCCGCATCTTCCAGCTCCTGGCAACGCTCATAGCCATGCTGTTTCAGTATGCTCCACACCACCTCCGTGTCGTTGGTGTTCATCTGGCAGCCATACACCTCGAAGTGAACCTTTCGCCCATGACCATGGAAATCGATGGAGTTCAAATACGGAATGCTGCTATCCACTCCCTCAAGTTCCGCCTCTTCGCCCAGTTTCAGCTTGGAGGCGGGTTTCACTGTGAAAAAGTCTTGCAGACCGGGCCCGCGTTGAATTTTCTCCATAAACGTTACACGTGCTGTCGCCGGTTCCGGCTGGATTTCTGCGGCTGCTTTTGCTGCTGTGGCAGGTGCAGGATTGGATGCAGCGCTGGCCGATGCAGAAACATGTCGCACATGACGGTATATCGCCTGGCAGCGCAGTCTCATCGTGAAATTTTCGAAAAATCTTTTTTGTTTTGAAAATTATGCAAGCGCAGGCTAGAGATGTGCAAAAATCGATAGGACAGCGGTTCGTATGTGGGTACCAAATTTATGCGCTAGAGGGCTGACTGGTAGTTCAAAGTTTGGCCGCTGAAATTAACGTTAAATTTGAATGGTGAGGAATATGCTCAGAATATTCAGCTGCAAGAACACACAATACAAACACACCAAGAGAAGGCAGATAAACAGCCACACATTTGAGGGCGAAAGCACCAAGCTCCGCTGAGCAATAAGAAATTAGCAATAGGCCCCCCTCATTATGAGCTTAATGTGGTCAAGTTAATAATGCACAGGTGTAGACAATGCAATTGCACAAGCGACCGTCAACGAGTGCTTCCGAATTTCAGGAAGTGTGCGTGTCTGTGCTCTGCCGACATTTTGTGGTTTTGTGGGTCAATAACTGAATAATTGCATCAGCTCCAAGGCGCACACCTCTCCCAAGATACATAGATACATATATGTTTGTTTGTATGTATGTATGTATCCATTCATGGATCTGCTGAAACGGTGGCTGTATGGGGCCTGGATGGGCGCCTAGCCACATATTTTGTAAACACTTACAAGCAGAAATATTTTAATGAAAATGAAATGAAAATTCCACTTTCGGCCAAAAGAATTTCGTAATTAGAGCGAAAAAATTCGGTAATTAAATTAATGAAGTTTCTGGCTCGAAGGCAGCCACTTCTAGGGCCCCCCAGACTCAGACGCCAGACCCCCAGAGCAAGAGCCACTATTCGGGTGGCAAGGATCCACTAAGTGTGTTCTGGTCTCTGTCCTGTGCCTTCTGCTTGCCGCCTTCGTTCTGTTGGTTAAGCATTTTCTTGTATTTTGTCGGCACTTTTCCGCTAAAGTTATTTTCCCATGAGTTTTCCCTCCTTCTCCAGTCCGTTGCTATAAATCTTAGAGCTGGGTCACGCTGGAGCCGGGGCAAGGATGGAGTTGTGTGTGTGTGTGAAAATGAGAGTTTTCCCAGCTTGTGCATACGCGAAGAAGCTTAAGCTGAGACCAAGTCGGGCAGGACTTTCCGCTGGCTTACGTCTCTCCAGGAACTGTCAATAAATAATAAATAATTCAATTGTACAAATGCGTACCGATACACGTATTTAGTTGTGGCAATTAATCCGACAATTCTGCGCCAAAACACGCTCCTGCCAGTTGACAATTTGTGGGAAAGCGGCAAGCCTGCGGACAGGATGAAGTCAGCGGATTGGATTTTGGCTGGAACGCTTTTGTGGCCAACTAAGATTATGGCTCTCAATATGTTGTATCTTTACCTCATGAACAGTCGAATACAAATCCGAATCCCCCTGAGCCACACACACACACACACACACACATCCGCCGGCAGGAGCCAGCCCACCGCCAATGACACTTTGAGGCCCCATAACGCGGGCACACGCATAATGATGCGTTGAATGGCTCAATGCGTGGCCATGGCCTCCAAAGGCTGGGCTCCCCACAGCCACCAACCAGCAAGACGAAAGTTTGCTTACAGATTTCCATTTTTCGGAAAGCCATTTGCCCCCCCCCCAAGTTCCTGACTGCTCCATGCCAGACCTCGGGGGCGCATTCGGCGTTGCAAGACGGTGGGGGGGTGTGGGTCGGTGTTAACGGCACATCTGAGAGTAATTCTCGGTACAAAGAAACAAAGGAAGAAGGGAAAGCTAACGCTAATAGAAAATGGCTGGCTGGCTGGCTGTCGTCGTCTCCGTCGTCGTTGTCGTTAAATTGAAATTGTCGCGGAAATAAAAATTTGCATATTTTAGCATTGATTTTCTGTCACCCTCCCCCCCCGCCGGCGTACGCTGGCAGTAGCCCTTTGGGAATACATGGCGTATGCGCAACGTTTGAATGCAGTCAATAAATTTAGCCAAGTTAAACAAAAATTGCGCAAATTAATTACGGGCGAGTGCATAAAACAAACGAAAGCCCAATGACCGAGCACTAAACCATGCACAGTCGTGCAGTCCCCCAGTCCTAAGTCCCCCAGTCCTAAGTCCCCCACTCCTCAGTCTCTAGTGGGATGTGGGAGAGTGTGTGGACTGGGTCTTGTGTTTCTCATTACTGACTGCCAGCTCCAGTTGCTGTCTCTAGTAAATCCTGACGCTGTCACAATAAAATCCACTCAAGCTAAACATACGTCAGCAGTGACGAGCCGAAGGAGAGCGCGCGCCGCAACGACAGAGCACCGACTTTCGGCTGGAGTCCAAGGCAAGTCACAAAAATTTATGCGCTAGCCAGGCCCAGCACCGGGACGAGCGGCCATTGGAAAAAAAAACACACACAGCATCTCCTTCTGTTTTGCCTGCCGCTTGCCTCGTTCTGGCAGTGACTCGAAGGAGGCGCAGGATATAATACAAAACTGCTCATTGATTTATTTACGAGCTCTACTGATGGCTTGGGCATGGGGCATGGGGCGTGGCAGGCGACAAGTTGCAGGCACTGTAGCCAGGGATGCAGGGAGTCATTGCAGATAGAAAGGCGAGAAAAAGCAAAGTTTAGACTGGGAAAAGTGAGTGCCTGTGCCTGCCACAACAAAACTGCAGCTAAAATTTTTACATTTCTCCGCTTGCACTGGACATGGGCTCACCCATGACCTCCTATGGCATCAGCCTTGCATTCATCCATCCTCCCAAGCCGCATCCTTTGCCTGTGCTTCCCGTTCCTTTCCTCTTGTCTTTGCTCTGTGACTGTGACTTACATAAAGTGGACTCGACTTGGTCGTCGGGTCATTTAGGCGCAGGCCGTAGATCTTTTGGAGCAATGGCTTTTGACACTCAATATGGGATGCCAGTCGGATGGATGCTCGAGGGATGCTGATGCCGTTTAAATATTTGATGCTGGCCAACCAGCGCTAGGGCCTGGCTTTAAAGGATACAAAACGAATACATATGTACGTTCGTATGGCTGCCTGGCTGCCTGGCTGCCTGCGGTGTTTGCTGGCAATTTCCATTGTCACGTGGCGGTAATTACCGGTGTTGCAGACACAGACGCAAATACTCGCACAGAGTAGAGCCCGATTCTGGGCTCTGGCTTCTGGCTCCTGGCCATGGCTTTGAACTGCACGCCCGCCACTCGATTTCTCTCTCTGGCTTTATGTGTATGCTTTTTCGTTTGTCTGTTTGCCTGTTTGTTTGGGTGTCTGTCTGCGTGTGTGTGTGTGTGTCTCTGTGTGTTGGTTTTGGCCGTATCCTGTCGCGTCGCAACGCGCTTTACAATTTCAATTCATTGAATTTTAACAGCGCCTGCAGGCAGCAGCAGCAGCACCAGTCCTCGGGCGTCCTTGCCCTGCGAGCCCAGTTAACCGAAAGTTTGTAAAACGTTATGTGCAACATTTGCTGGCAGGATGTGGGATGCGGAGAGCGGTGACCACCTGCATCGCCCCGACACTGGTCCATTGTCAATGAACTTCGTGTAGGTCGGCGTCGACCGCCGCCAGTCTGAGGGCTCAGATATTAAAACGTGTTTTATCACGCGCCGCCATTTCGCGGCCGGGTATTCAGTCCAATTGCGGCCAGATTGCACTTTTCAAGTGCGTGTTAATGCACTGCGTGTGTGTGTGGTGGGGTGGGGAGTGGGTTGGGGACTTAGACGGGAACTTAAAGCTGTTGCTGACGAAGGCAGTTTGGCTTGTGGCTTTGGCTCTTCCTCTCTGGCCATTCAAATTAGAGAAACGAGCTGGCAAATGTCACTGCAGAAGAAGCGCACCAAAAAACGAAAGGGTTGATGCCGGAAGGGTACCCGCAAAATGGGAAGGGGCTGTTGGTGTTGGTGGGGGATATTGTGGGGCAGCAGCAGCAGCAGCTGTTGTTTGTCCTTTGCCGCCATTTTGTGCGTGTGCATGCCCGTTCATACACGCTCCCCCGTGTGCCTCGACGAGTTTTGTTACATTTTCGTTTTGCAATTTCATTAAATTCCAACATCCGCCATAAATCTTCCACTCTTCAGCAAGGCTTCTGTGCTTTGAAGCGATAAAGGTACGAGTATGTCTGCGTGTTAGTGTCTCTCCATCTGTACTCTGTGTGTGTGTGCTGTTGGCAGACCCAGAGATCCCATCACACACACTGAGAACGAGAGCGAGAGAGAGAGAGAGAGTGAGACTGGGAGCGTAACGTAACCCAAAATGGCCGTTGAAGTGGTTGAAAGCGATTACGCTGACTGCCAAAGGTTGACAAGCCTTTGTGTATGTGTGTGTGTAAATGTTGCATGAATGAGCTTTTTGGGGACACTTCCCGCTTCCCGCTTGGACCTTGGAGAGTACGTACGTACGTATATGTGTGTCGAGTGAGGGCACTCAAAGTTATGTGGGGTTCGGTTCGCCTTGCTGCTTGCTGCTGGGCTTTAAGTTGCCCCGTTTTCTGGGGCACAACATAAACTTGCCTCACTTACACTCCCCCCCCCCCCACCCAGATGCTCCATTAATGTCCCCCCAAAAAACTTTACTCCTGACATTGACAAGTCATTGAGCCCTGGCCCAGGATGCCCGGAGCTTGTTGAAAGTTATCCCATAAGGAAAACATAACTTAACAACAGATTAAAAGCGAATAAAAAGGGGGAACACACCCCTGCATTCTCGCACGGATCTCTCCGTCTCCAATCTCCAATTCATCGACATTCCTTGCTGAAATATGCTAAATATTATGACAGCATCAAATCATTGCACTACCAGCAACCCCACACACCCCACCCACCCCACCACACAGCTACACTCGTGCTGGCAGAACAGCCACCAGATAGAGGACCGAGGACAGAGGACCGAGGAACCCCAGCTGTTTTGGCTCGTCTGGCGCTTATTAAACTGAAATCCCCGCCTCGAGTGTCGCCTGCCATTGTTTGTGGAGTTAACAATTTTTGCAAACCGCCAAGCAAATTATTATTATTTTTCTTTCTCAAGCGGCTCTGGAAAAGCTTAGAGTTTCAGAGTCAGCGCTCCAAGACCGCAAGCGACTTTTGAATGCTCTCAGAAAATGATGTAAATATTTTTAGGTGCTTTACTGAACAATC